TTATATCTCGAAAAACACTTATTAAATGTCAAATAAAATGATTATATCTTATAAGAGAAAAAGTTTTGTTTAATTTTCTAATCAATTGTTTTCTCAAATCGCATACAAAAACCTATGTATTAAATACGACGCAAACACATAACACATCATTGAATGCCATAAAAACACACAAAACTTTTGTTACATTTACGATAATCGGCGATAAATGTAATGTAAATTTTGAATTGACCGAAAAAAATGTTTCAAATTATAAATGAATAAAACAATAATATATTAAAATTGGACTCAATTTACGGCTTTACTCGCGAATGGATGCGTTGGTGTTGAATGAGATGCACCTTTTGGGTGAACCTTTGGCCGCAATCCATGGCATCACAAATGTATGGCTTTTCGCCCGAATGGATCCGTTTGTGTTCATTGATATGAGATATATATTTGAATCGTTTGCCACAATTGGGTTCAATGCAGACAAACGGCCGATCATTAGAGGCATCGCTTTGAGGGATATGTCGATCACTGGAGTCTTCTCTGTTCTCAAGTCCTCCCACTTCTTGTGTCTCGTCTGACATCACATGTGTTTCCGGTTCACCGCTATTGTCGTCCACCACTCCATCCATTGGGTGGACAGACGAGTGCGAGGCACCGGTATTGCCATCACTTTGGCTCTGATTGTCTTGAATCGGATGTGTCTGTCCATCGGTGACACCACTCGTGCCCTCCCGTCCCTCCAGTGTCTCGTCATCCGATTCTCCATCACTTTCATCGACCACTGCATGTAATGCTTGTCCCTCCCGGCGCTCATCGATGTGACCATTCAATGGGTTATTATTATTGCCATTAATTTGCAATAAATTCAAACCAATCGTCAAATCAATGGAAATGTCTTTCAATTCATTTCTCTTAACGACAACTGAATTACTATTCAATTGATTGTGAATTGCATTCAAATGCTTATTAAAAGTCTTTAGTTTTGATAATAAACTCAATTTACTGTCAATTGAACTCATTTTGAGTGCAATTATATTCACTTAAAACACAATATTTTAATGATTTTTAACTCATTTAATGGGAAATGAATACAAATGTTAAACACTTTCACAAAACAATTAACAAATCATTTTTCAGACAAAGACTTTGAGTTGAAGTGAAAATTGAGACTAAATTACAGTTTTTTATATGAAATACACTTTTTGTTCACAAATGCATACAAAATGATTACTTTTATGAAAACTTTACAGTTTTTAATGAAATACTAATTAATGTTTGTCTGTATATAAAATGAATATGAAATTTGTTTTTATTATAATTTGACATTTAATTAACTTATTTGCCATGAATTTTAAGTATTAATTTATTTCATTCAGACTTTTATTGGGTTTGATTCATAAAAATGTAAACTAAAAATAAAATCAACACTTTATCGCTCGCATTGAATGAATGGTAATACAGGTATAGTATTAACCACTGAATCAAAATCAATAAAATATACTAATTTTTAACTGATTTCATGAATCATCGCATAAATGATTAGATAATTTATTTAATAATATTTACGAGAATAAACAGGTACTGTATTTAATCAACTGATTATAAATAAATAATTAATTTTTACACAAATAAACTTTGCAAATATATATTTAGAAAATGTTAAAAATAAATTTTAATTCATGTTAAGGACTCGTAACACCAATGATTAGATTTTATTTTGTAATATTTGTGGGAATAAACACATATTTAAGCAACAGGGTGAAATAAATCCTTATTTGTATATTTTATTGGTTTATATGCACTCAAAGAGTAGATAAATATTTCAGAAATAATTTTTCCAAAACTGATCGCAGGTTTTCTCATAAGGATTACTTTGAAAGATGGTATCATCCAATGGATCCATGTTTTTAATACTGATTTTTGTATTATCCATCAAATGCGGCCATTTTTCCAATGAATCCGGTTTTCTAACAAAAAATATAATTATAATTATTTAAATACCTTTTAATTGACACAATCCTTACCCTGTTTTTGCGAAATCAGTCCACAATCTCATAGAATATTCTGTGAATTCTTTGTCAACTTTAGTATAATTCTTGTCGTGTTGAGTGAGTGGTAATCCAAAAACATAGGGCAGTTCAGCCCCATGGGTGACTCCCAGTAACTGATCAATAGGAGTGTCCGACGATTTATAGGTCCACTCATAGAAGAATACATTATTTTCTTTAGCCGTGTTTTGGGCGAAGAGTTTTGCGAACAGATATGTCGGACAAGTGATGAGTACATCGCCGTAGAACGAGAAGAATTGGTGGCGAATGGCACTGGAATTCGTGTCATCGATGTCTCGCAGATAATATTCGGTGATATTCCTCACGTTTAGCGTATGAAATGTGGGCTCATTTTGTTGCACCAAATCATTAAAGTCTTGTTTTGTCACATTAGAATGGCACTGGAATTCGTGTCATCGATGTCTCGCAGATAATATTCGGTGATATTCCTCACGTTTAGCGTATGAAATGTGGGCTCATTTTGTTGCACCAAATCATTAAAGTCTTGTTTTGTCACATTTTTTGTGATCAGTATCGGGAACACCCCTACGGCCAGTGCTGAACCTTCCAGTTCTGTCGTACCGGCTATTAGTTCAATATCTGCCATAAAATAAACATTTGAGTACAATATTCTCTATACTAATAGTAGTCATAACTTTTAAAATATACAAACCTCTGTTAAATTCTTTCTTCTCAAAGGCTACCTGTGCTGAATAGGGCAGTATGTCTGTGCCTATTATGGCGTTTATATGGTATGTGTTATTGGTCTGTATGTGATAGTCTTGGATGAGTGTGGCATCGATTCCTCGTAAGCATTGAATCCACTTATCGTCCGTACAATTGAAATGATCGGCCAATTGTTTTGCATCAGAAATGGCTTCAGTTTTGGTAATCAATGGTCTATTTTTGGAGAACAGTTGTGCCGCACTCTCCATAATAGCCCTCCGGAACAGACCCTTAGATAGTGGAGACAATATATGCGCCGACACCGACCAACTACCGGCGCTCTCACCAAAGATCGTTACCATATCAGGATCGCCACCAAACTTATGTATGTTTTGTTTTACCTATGGATTCAATAATAGTAACATTAAACTAATAATATTATAGTAATGATTTAAAGTTTAGCATTAATTTTAAGTATTCCCGTTATATTAAAACATTTGTCAAAAAATAGTTTATACAGGAATTCATATGAATTGAGTCTATATTACCCATTGAAGTGCCAGTTGTTGGTCATAGAGACCCATATTTCCGGGCGAAGACTCATCGCCCGAATATAGGAAACCAAAGGCTCCTAATCTGTAGTTAATGGACACAAACACGATGTCATGTGTGGCCAAAACGGATCCGTTATAATTAGGAAATTGAAATATGGATCCAACTACGAAAGCACCACCGTATATCCATACCATCACCGGTTTCAATGGCTTATCTACCACTTTAATATCACTTACCGGTGGCGACCATATGTTTAATACCAGACAATCCTCACTATTATTGCCATTATATTGATATAAGGGTTTCAACGGTTGCATACAAGAGTTCTTGGGAACAGTTGCGTCGATAATGTCCTAAAAATATAATCGCTTTAAATATATTTACATTTAGATTGTATTTAATGTATACTTTGATTGGCTTTTCAATGGCTTTTGGTTTAGCAAACCTGAGGTCACCGACGGGTGGCTCAGCGAACGGTATTCCCAAGAATTCATTGATTGTCTGATTCAGCACTTGTATGGTCTGTCCCCTCACTATACCAGAGCTCGTATTCACGTCGACATAACTGTTGATTTCTAAATGTGTAGTACTTTCAGCAAAACCACAGTTAATATTGAGAATTATATGCAAACACAAAGCAATTATACAAATATTTAATAACATTTTGTACTATGCTGTTTAGTGTTTAATTGCTAAATTTGTAATATACTGTATAAGGACTTAAACACAATAAATATAAACTAATTTTTAATTGATTTCATAAATGATTAGATAATTAATTGAATAATATTTATGGGAATAAACACATATTGTACTGTATTTATTACAATCATACGGTGTTTGCGTACAAAATAAACACAATTAAGTTTTATTTTATTTCTACATATTATATGACTTTCAGGTTGACTCACATTTTATGATAATATTAAACAAAATGTTAAATTATGCTTTAAAATGATTTTATTTATATCAAATACTAATTGAACATATTTCTAAACATTATCAATTAATAGGTTTAGTTAACAACGTCAATTTGAGCGTCAGTAGTATCATAAGTAGTTGATCCTGGTCCAATAATTGGTGTAATTACTCCTTCAGTTGGATTGGGAACGGTAGCTGACATTTGTAGGGGTTTTACTATTTATAGATGCCGTATTATTACCGCTAATAATTGTGACAGGCCATGTTATAGGTGCAGGCGCTGGAGGTTTATAATAGGGATAGTAATAGGGATAATAGCCCGGGTAATAACCATATCCATATCCGCCACAGTATTTAGTCTCAGGTTTATTAATGGGAAGGGTATTCACAGAAGCTATAAATTTTTAAATTATATTAAATAAAAATGATCATGTTAATATAAGTGTAAAATTAAGACATTCAAACCTATGCCAATTATTAGTAAAGTTGCTAGTTTAAACATTTTAATTAAAATATGATAGCAAGTTTACAGTATAGTATAATATTATTTTATTTTATTTTTTTTTGTAGAAATTTATAAAATGTTTACAAATAAATATTATATTATATAATATTAGATCCTGTTTAAAAATTTATTATTTTAACCGACCTTAACAGTAGGTATAGTAATATTATATAAGAATATAGTTATTTTATTTGCATTTTTATTGTTAAAATAAAACATAATTTTACATCCATGTTGTAAATTATTGATTAATTATCAGGGTAATTTTAGATTTCTTAATAAAACATGTGTTTTCATAACAAATGTGCACGATGTTATTTTAAAGTTATGTACTACTCGTTTAGCTTAAACCTATGTATATTTTATGAATAATTGACTTTTGGATAAAATTAATAATTAGATATCTGATGTTTTAAAATAAACCCCGGATTATACATAGGCTATGAATTGAAAGATTTTCATTGGTTTCGAGTAATGTATATTGGTTTCATAGCCTATATATAATCCGGGTTTTATTTTAAAACATCAGATATAATGAATATAAAAAAAAGCTAACGTTCCTATGGTTATCCAAAGCTCATATGTACTGACGTATAGCTTTCAAAATGATCTCTCTAAGCTATTATAATTTTTAAATCTGAGTTAAAGCTTATTTACAAAAATTTCCGAAATAGCGGCCAATTATTTTCAAAACATTTTTTGTGTGCACCGGTAATTGACCCAGATTATGATTTTAACCCAGATTAGAATTGTAGAAAAACATCCTAATCATAATAAGTGCTTAACAATCAATTTTGATGAATTTCATATTTATGGGAATAAACACATACTGTATTTAATCAACTGATTACAAATAAATACAATAATTATTATCTACCGGTGCCATACATATTGCAAACATTAAAAGTTTAATGTTTTAGAAATAGTTTTTCCAAAACTGATCGCAAGTTTTCTCAAACGGATTACTCTTCAGAAGGCTTTCATTGAAGGGATCCATGTCTTTGATATTGATTTTTGTGTTATCTATAAAATGGGGCCATTTTTCCAATGAATCGGGTTTTCTAATAAATTATAATTAATAATAAACTACAATATAAGTATAGCTTAAAAATCTGTCAAACTGATTATTATATTATCATAAAATACCTAGTGTAGTAATAATGTAGTAAGTATACAATTCTTAGTAATAATGTATAGTAAGTATACAATTCTTACCCTGTTTTCACGAAATCAGTCCACAATCTCATCGAATATTCCGTGAATTCTTTGTCAACTTTAGTATAATTCTTGTCGTGTTGAGTGAGTGGTAATCCAAACACATAGCGTCCTTCAGCCCCGTGAGTGACGCCCAATATTTTATCAAAGGCTGGATCTAATGACCCGTAGTTCCACTCATAGAAGAATACATTGTTTTCTTGAGCAGTGTTTTGGGCGAAGAGTTTTGCGAACAGATATGTCGGACAAGTGATGAGTACATCGCCGTAGAACGAGAAGAATTGGTGGCGAATGGCACTGGAATTCGTGTCATCGATGTCTCGCAGATAATATTCGGTGATATTCCNGAATGGCACTGGAATTCGTGTCATCGATGTCTCGCAGATAATATTCGGTGATATTCCTCACGTTTAGCGTATGAAATGTGGGCTCATTTTGTTGCACCAAATCATTAAAGTCTTGTTTTGTCACATTATCTGTCAGTAAAATCGGGTGCAGACGTGCTGCCAGTGCTGACCCCTCCAGTTCTGTCACACCGGCTATTAGTTCAATATCTGCCGGAAATAAACAATTTACAGAATATTCTCTATAATAATAAGTAAACTACACAAACCTTTATTAAACTCTTTCTTTTCAAAGGCTACCTGTGCTGCATAGGGAAGGATATCTGTGCCTATTATGGCGTTTGTATGGTATGTGTTATTGGTCTGTATGTGATAGTCTTGGATCTGTTGGGCATCGATCCCTCGTAAGCATTGAATCCACTTATCGTCCGTACAATTGAAATGATTGGCTAACTCTTTGGCCTCAGAAATGGCTTCACTTTTGGTAATCATTGGTCTCTTTCTGGAGAACAGTTGGGCCGCACTCTCCATAATAGCCCTCCGGAATAGACCCTTAGATAGTGGAGACAATATGTGGACCGACACCGACCAGCTACCGGCGCTCTCACCAAATATGGTTACCATATTAGGATCGCCACCAAACTTATGTATATCTTGCTTAACCTATGGTTTAAAAATACGGAATTGTCTATTAATTTATTATATTATATACTAATTCAGTTATCAAAACGTATTATATTTTTTATATAAAGGACAAAAATTTGTCCTTGTTAATTTAAACTATTGGTTACCCATTGAAGTGCCAGTTGTTGGTCATAGAGACCCATATTTCCGGGAGAAGACTCATCGCTCGAATATAGGAAACCAAAGGCTCCTAATCTGTAGTTAATGGACACAAACACGATGTCATGTGTGGCCAAAACGGATCCGTTATGAGTAGGAAATTGAAATATGGATCCAAAGGTAAAACCACCACCGTAAATCCATACCATCACCGGTTTCAATGGCTTATCTACCACATTAATATCACTTACTTGTGGCGACCATATGTTTAATACCAGACAATCCTCACTAAAATTCCCGTTAAATAAAGGATTCGTTTGCATACATGAATGCTTTGGTACCGTTGAATCGATAATGTCCTAAATAATCATCATAATATAAATCTACCGTATTTTATTTTAATTTATTTATTTTCAATCTTTACTTTTAGTGGCTTTTCAATGGCCTTTGGTTTAGCAAACCTGAGGTCACCGACGGGTGGCTCAGCGAACGGTATTCCCAAGAATTCATTGATTGTCTGATTCAGCACTTGTATGGTCTGTCCCCTCACTATACCAGAGCTCGTATTCACGTCAACATAACTATTAATTTCCAGATGACTATTACCATCAGCCAAACCATATTTTACATTGAGAATTGTATGCAAACACAAAGCAATTAAACAAATATTTAAAAACATTTTTGAAAGTACTGTATTATTTAGATGCTGTTGTTAAATGTGAAATACTGTATATAGCATAGGAACTCAAGCACTATATATATAATAGTATATATTATATACTGAATATTTCAATTGTTTTATATATCATCGCATAAGTGTACAGATAATTTATTGTATAATATTTGTGAGAATAAACACATACTTCATTATATTTAAACAACTGATTATATTAGTCAATCAATCCGTATTTTCTACGAGTACATTTTTTGCAAACATTAATAGTTATCAAATAATTTTAGAAATAATTTTTCCAAAACTGATCGCAGGTTTTCTCAAACGAATTACTCTTCAGTAGGTTTTCATTCCATGGATTCATGTCTTTAATACTGATTTTGGTCTTATCGTTAAAATGTGGCCATTTTTCTAATGAATCGGGTTTTCTATCACAAGTAAATTAATAATTAGTATATCAAATACAATGTAGATGTTATTTTTAATAATCATAACACAATTTTTACCCTGTTTTTGAAAAATCAGTCCACAATCTCATAGAATATTCTGTGAATTCTTTGTCAGCTTTAGTATAATTCACGTTATGTTGAGTCAGTGGCAGACCAAATACATAGCGTAGGTCAGCCCCGTGGGTGACACCCATTATCTTGTCTATAGCCATATCGGATGATCCATAGGTCCACTCATAGAAGAAGACATTATTTTCTTTCGCAGTGTTTTGGGCGAAGAGTTTTGCGAACAGATATGTCGGACAAGTGATGAGTACATCGCCGTAGAACGAGAAGAATTGGTGGCGAATGGCACTGGAATTCGTGTCATCGATGTCTCGCAGATAAAACTCACTGATATTCTTGACGTTTAAATTATGAAATGTGGGCTCATTTTGTTGCACCAAATCATTGAAGTCTTGTTTTGTCACATTATCTGTTTGTAATATCGGGTACTGAAAGTAGGCCATTGCTGACCCTTCCAGTTCTGTCACTCCGGCTATTAGTTCAATATCTGTCATAAAATAATGAATTAATAAATAAGAATATTCTCTATACTATTCCTGTAGTATTATAGTCATAACTTTTAAGATATGCAAACCTCTATTAAACTCTTTCTTCTCAAAGGCTACCTGTGCTGAATAGGGCAGTATGTCTGTGCCTATTATGGTGTTTATATAATATGTATTATTGGTCTGTATGTGATAGTCTTGGATGAGTGTGGCATCGATTCCTCGTAAGCATTGAACCCACTTATTGTCCGTACAATTGAAATGATTGGCCAATTGTTTTGCATAAGAAATGGCTTCAGTTTTAGTGATAATTGGTCGGTGTCTGGAGGATAGTTGGGCCGCACTCTCCATAATAGCCCTCCGGAACAGACCCTTAGATAGTGGAGACAATATATGCGCCGACACCGACCAACTACCGGCGCTCTCACCAAATATTGTAACCATATTAGGGTCACCACCAAACTTATGAATATGTTTCTTCACCTGTCATTTTAATTGCAATAAAATACAAAACCATTAACTGTTTACTCCTTATGAGCATTTAGATTATAAAATTTATTTTACTTTTTAAGCAAAAAGTATAAGAAAATAATATTAATTAAGTCCAAAATTCATTACCCATTGAAGTGCCAGTTGTTGGTCATAGAGACCCATATTTCCGGGCGCAGACTCATCGCCCGAATACATGAAACCAAACTCTCCTAACCTGTAGTTAATGGACACAAACACGATGTCATGTGTGGCCAACACTGAGCCGTTATAATTAGGAAATTGAAATATGGATCCAACGACAAACCCACCACCGTAAAACCATACCATCACCGGTTTTAATGGCTTGTCCACCATTTTTATATCACTTATCGGTGGCGCCCATATGTTCAATACCAGACAATCCTCACTAAAATTCCCTTTAAAAAAGGGAGATATTTGTTGCATACATGAATACTTCGGTACCGTTGCGTCGATAATATCCTAA